TTCTCTTTCTCTTCTTATCTTTATCTATTTATATTTTGAAAGTACTTTATTTTTCTGTGTGATTTTTGTGTGATTTGAATAATTGTATATTTGTATATTTGTATGCACCAACTGCACCAGTGTGGCTTTTATTTTGAAATCTATCGGCGGAAGTGCAGTGTGTCACTGCGTAAACTTACCGGCCGGGCTTCAGGTCCGACTTCCACACTGCTGGTGGCGGCGTGTGTGGAACCTTTTACACCCACCGACTAAAACCGGGAAAATATCTCATTAAAACTCGCTTTTTTTTTTTAGCCTTATCGTCCCCTCCGGATCGATAAAGGCTGACAAAGAGCTGTTATTTTTTTTCTCATCTTCATCACCCCCCCCCTCCTCCTCCTTCCTCCTTCCCTCTCCGCGCGGCGTGAGTTTCACGTGGAGACCGTGGGTTCATCCTCACTACGACTGAATCATCCATCATTGAGTTTACAGCAGTTCACATTCACTGTGTTTGAGATGGCAACGTTGATCCTAGAGGACGGGACGACGTTCAGGGGCCTCCTGTTCGGGGCAAACGTGTCAGTGTCGGGAGAAGTTGGTGAGTAAACTACAAGTTCATTTATTAAAAACCTGTGTAAGTAGCTGCCTTTATGTTATTCCCTTTTTGTTTCTGTGTATTTGGGGAATTTTATGTCGCTTTTGTTTGTTTTTAATGTGCCACGATGCTCTTTTGGAGTTGCAAAAGCGCCAAATGTTCCCAACCAAACTCCATTCAGATATCTGTCAATTATAGGTGAGGGGTTAACTAACGTTGTCAGGTGGTATGCGCATGTGCCACATGACCTTTCTTATATAGATAAATCACCCAGCATTGCGTGTCAACATCTTTATAACTGTGCTCGCCTCTTTACCATACCTGGTATGTTTTTCTCATTGTTTTTTTTGCTAGATGAACGCATAGCTAGACATGGAGGTATGGCACTAACTAGCTTTTTAAAAAGTTGAACTGTGTTGTAATAAACGCAGAGCAACGTGTGGCAAGCGTGCCGAACTAAAGATTAGGCAATATTGATTTGTATACAAGGGCAAATTTGCTCTGTGGTGCGTTTACTGGCGCCGTTGAGCAAGGTAGCAGTAAAAGTGATGGGATTGTGAGCGTAGTTTGGCGGGACGGAGTACACAGAGTAGAATGGAATGAATCACCTCACATCTGGATGACATAATCCAAAGCCAGTTTTACTACATAAACACCAGTAGCTCTGTTCTGGCAGGAGGCTTTTAAAAGTGACAGTAAACCTGAATCAACAAAAAGTCAACATATGCAGACAGTTACTGCTTTTAGTGAAGTTTATGTCAAGCAAATTGTTTACTCCAGCACCTGAACGCTGAATATTGATATCAGTGACTTATAAAAATGAGTACCACTCAAATACAGCTGTTGTTAAAGACTGGGCCATGTACTGATGAATATGTGGTATGTTCAGTGTTTCAGACGGGCATGGTGGGCTACCCCGAGGCTCTCACTGACCCATCCTACCGCTGCCAGCTGCTCACCCTCACTTACCCTCTGGTCGGCAACTACGGCGTACCAAAGGACGAAGATGGAGACTTTGGATTGAGCAAGGTGGGCAGACTTGAAACCTTTTGTTGTATAGCAGTAGAAGGCCTTGAATTAAGATTTAATGAGAGATAATATTCCTTTGTGACGTGTTTTTACTGTGTTTTTGTTGTCAGTGGTTTGAGTCGTCGAAGATCCACGCTGCGGCTCTGATCATCGGAGAGCTGTCGGAGAGTCCCAGTCACTGGAGTTCAGTCAAGTCACTGGACCAGTGGCTCAAAGAGCAAGGCATTCCTGGATTACAAGGTCAGAAAATCTGAATTTAAATAGACTCATTATAATAATTTTAATGGGAAATAAGTTAATGTAGAATTGAATGCATTAAACTCAAACTAATTGTCCTTATATTTGAATTTTAAATGGCTGCTAAATCACAATTTGGTACCTGATATATAAAAATGTATAAAACTATCAGATACTTGCAAGCTTTTATTCTATTATATTATTATCTATTTTACTCCAGGCATCGACACTCGCCGTCTCACCAAAAAGATCCGAGAGAAGGGCACCATGTTGGGGAAGCTGGTCGTGGACGGGACTCCTGAGGACAGTATCCCCTTTGATAACCCGGACAAGAGGAACCTGGTCCAGGAGGTCTCCATGAAGGTAGATAACCTCGTTTTTAAATTAAAAATCCAGAATTTATTAAGATTATTAAGACTTTATGTTAATTTATTAACAATATGAAGTTCAATGCTTGATGTTAGACCTCAAAACTAAACTAGGAAATAGGCCGCACAGGTTAGAAGTAAGGATTAATTAGATTATTTTTGTCTTAATACATGTAAACAATACAGCAAACAGTCCTATTTGTTTGACCGTGTTTATTTATTAAAAGTCTGGTTACTTCTCCAGGAGCCCAGAGTATTCAACCCCAGCGGTAGTCTGCGAATCACAGTGGTGGACTGCGGCATCAAATACAACCAGATCCGCTGCCTGGCTCAGAGAGGAGCCCGTGTGACTGTCGTACCCTGGGACCACCCGTTGGACAGCACAGGTCCGTCACACACAGACGTAGAGCAGCAAACTGTTCGACTGGGGCACAAAACTCAGTGGTCAGTTTGTTTGAGGTGGTTTTAAAGATGTCAGCGATAATTATGGCAGCTTTTTACCTTTTTTGGAGAACGTATAAGCAAAATGTGGGACTGTGCTTGTGTTTGTTTCAAGGAAACCTGTGGAAAAAAAACTGGAGATAGATTCATAAAAACACACAAGTAGGACAAGTACTAGTAGCAGAAAGGTTTTCTCATTAATGTTCAGCCAATATCTTAGTGATAAAGTAGTTTATTGCTGCTTCAGACAGTAAAAAATGAGTGTAAGTTCAATAAAAGACAATAAAGTACCGGAAATTAGTCTCCAGACGGGTGACAAATAAAAGGAACAACCTGAATGAATGAAAAACACCACAAATACCGATGCTTTTATTCAGGACACGAGGGGTCATTGATGAAAATTATGTGAATGAATTGAACACCTCTGGGAGGTTTGTGTTTTCCTTTTAAATTGTGACTCAGCTGTATTCTTCAGTGGTAAAACAAGCCTTCTGTTGTCCTTTTTTTGTAGATTTTGATGGTTTGTTCATCAGTAACGGCCCCGGGGATCCCCAGCTCTGTCAGACCACCATCAACAATGTGAGGAAGGTGGTCTGCGTCGAACGCCCCAAGCCGGTTTTCGGCATTTGCCTCGGACACCAGCTGCTCTCTTTAGTCATCGGATCGAAGACCTACAAGATGAAGTTAGTACACCTGCACCAAAGTAATGTACATTTAAAAGGTTTAAAACTGTAGATTCTCACTCCGACCAAAATATTAATTGCGATTAACCAATTACCGTTTTTTGGTCACATTCAGGCTTCAACAGTTTAATTCTCATCTCCTTCATCTCATTTTCATTTCTTGGGAATCAATAAAGCTCTCACAGAGTGCTGAAATCAGTCAATAAATTGGGTTTCTATTGACACAAAAATGCCTTTTAAATGTGCAAAGTGTTCATTTGATGTAATTTATATACACTCACATCTGGAGCAGGCTTATAGGAGACTTTTGGAACAGGACAAAGACAGAAATGCACCCTCAGTGACCTGAACCAGGGAACCTCTTCAAAAACCTCTTTTTTTTACACTCCCTAGAAACACAGACGTCCATGCCCACACACACTTTCTTTGGGGAGTAGTGATGTGAACTGCAGGTTTTTGCTGTTCTCAGCAGTCTGGGCTGCTCCTGAATGAGCAGTGGGGTTGTCGGCCTGATCGCCCTTGTTATGAAAAAGACTAAACAAACAAGCCGCAGCATGCAAGACGAGGCGGTCGGCTCCTCGCTGTACTGCACTCCACAGCCACATCTGCGGGGGTTAGGGAGGCTTTCTTTCCCCTGAGACTCCACTGAGGGGAGCTTTATCAGGCCCGACGTGAAGGTCACAGCGGGCAGCCAATGTTTCTATTACCCCGCTGGAATGTGGCTGGCATCTTGAACAGACAAGGGGATTGTGGGATTGCAGGGAAATTCAAAATAGAGATAGTTCACAGGGGGAAATATCCATGTCCTTGTAAGAAACTACAGTTGTGTCAGTGTTACAGTACATGTTTTCTCTTTACCTGGAAGTCCAAAGCCCCATCGAAATGTAGCTGGATTACATTAAAGGTCCAGTGTGTAATATTTAAAAGGATCTATTGGCAGAAGTTGAATACAGTGTTCATTATGTTTTCATTAGTGTATAAGTAGCCTAGAACGGACAAACTAAAAGTATTGTGGCTCTAAATAGAGCTGTTCGAGGGCGTTACGCCAATCAGTCAATCATATCCTTTATATTAAGGGTGAACAACACCAACTAAACCAAATACTATTTTTGTATAAAAGCACATTATCAACATGTCTGTCTAGCCCCAACCATCTTATTTCTCCTGTCTCTCAGGTACGGGAACCGTGGCCACAACCAGCCGTGCATCCACAAGGGAACAGAGCGCTGCTTCATCACCAGTCAAAACCACGGGTTCGCCGTCGACCCCGACACCCTGCCGAAAGACTGGGACGTCCTCTTCACCAACGCCAACGATCATACCAACGAGGGCATCGTACACAACACGCAACCCCTGTTCAGGTACCAGGCTCAGTCACTCCTGAGGACTTGATAACGCACACCAGAAATGCCAGAATTTAGTTGATAAAACAATGTGATTTAAATTCTTTTGGGATGCATTTCTTCAGTGTTCAGTTCCACCCAGAGCACATGGCTGGACCCACAGACCTGGTCGGCCTGTTTGATGTCTTCCTCGACACCGTGAAAGACCACAAAGAGGGCAACGCTACCAAATCTGGTACTAATTTCAACTAACGAACTTCAACTTTTTGTGTAAAACACATTAGTTCTCAGGCCAAATGTTGTGTTTTAATGCCGTCATTATGACACCTTGCACCTAGGGGTGGACTTACAGTAGATTTGTAAGACCAACTATGTTTTTGTCTATCTTTCTGTCTGTTAGTTGCAATATGCTTTGACTGACTTTGGGCTTCCTTACAGAAGAAGAGTTTTATGTATCCTCGGCTTTTGTAGAATCCATTCAGGGCTTTCTGTAGATGATCAGTTTAATAATAAGTTGTTACACTGTTGTTTTCTACTTCACTGGTCAAAGATACATTACATAAATTCCTTGAATGGGAACTAACTGAAAATGCTTTTTGTGTGTTTTTTGTTTTCCAGTGAAGCAGCGTCTACTGGACCACCTTACCTACCCGGGTTCCACAAAGCCTGAAGAGGTGTCCCGACCCAGGAAGGTCCTCATCCTGGGCTCTGGAGGACTGTCCATTGGCCAGGCTGGGGAGTTCGACTACTCAGGCTCTCAGGTCTGTCTGGTGTACCTTATGGCAAGAGGAGTGCAGATACTCTGGGATGCAGAGTAAATTAGGAATCTGATGGTGGGGAATATGATGTTTGAGCTGCTACAAAAAGAGCAACATATGACCATAACGTTACTACAAAGAACATGTGTCTCGCCACCTTTCACTCTACTTCCTTTAAGATTTTAAAGCTGACCACCAGATTTTATTGTTGTAGTAGCCCATTATTACTAGCTGATGTTATTTTGTTCTGTTTTCCAGGCTATTAAGGCTCTCAAGGAAGAGAATATCCAGACTGTGCTGATCAACCCCAACATTGCCACTGTCCAGACCTCCAAGGGCCTGGCTGACAAAGTCTACTTCCTGCCGATCACACCGGATTATGTAACCCAGGTACAGATAAACTCCCTTCACTCAATGTGCTGACTGATAAGAGACAATGTGTGTACATAATGGGGTTATAAAATTCCTAGACAGGTTCCTGGAAAGTAAATGAAAGTAAATTAGTAGTAATAAAAGGTTTATTGACTTGATAGGGGATGTTTATGTGTGTTAAAGCTGATCAGGTCTAACATTTCAAAGGCTTTAAACTATTTTCACATGTTTTATTAACACATTCAGGTTCTTACAATATTTGTTTCCCCGTGGTATCAATGTTGAGTGTCTCCCCACTTTTTCCACTCAGGTGATAAAGAACGAACGTCCTGACGGCGTGCTGCTGACCTTCGGCGGTCAGACCGCTCTGAACTGCGGCGTGGAGCTGACCAAGCTGGGCGTCCTGGAGAAGTATAAAGTTAAGGTTCTGGGAACGCCGGTGGCCTCCATCGAGATGACTGAAGACCGGAAGATCTTTGTGGAGAAAATGGAAGAGATCAATGAGCATGTCGCTCCCAGTGAAGCAGCACTGTCTGTAGAGCAGGTGAAGAAAACAAGCAGCCCAGGTTCATTATCCATATATTTATCTCTTTTATGTGTCTGAATGTATCTTTTTAAACTTCATTACAGGCAGTGGCTGCTGCAGAACGTCTAGGCTACCCTGTTCTGGTTCGGTCTGCGTTCGCTCTCGGTGGTCTGGGCTCGGGCTTCGCCAACAATAGAGAGGAGCTAACCTCTCTGGTGACATCAGCCTTCGCCCACACCTCCCAGGTACTGGTGGACAAATCCCTGAAAGGTTGGAAGGAGATCGAGTACGAGGTGGTCCGCGATGCTTACGACAACTGTATCACTGTGAGTAAAGAACAGACGGACAAACAACGAAGCAGCACATTTTAAAGGTTAAATGTAATATTCCTGAACTTTAAAATGGTAGTTTGCTACACCATTGTGTCAAAAATAATTGCATTTTAAGTAGCATTGATATCTTATTGTAGGTGAGACTTGATTCGTTCTTCCTGTTCAGGTGTGTAATATGGAGAATATTGACCCTCTGGGCATCCATACTGGAGAATCCATCGTTGTGGCGCCCAGTCAGACGCTTAACGACCATGAATACAACATGCTGAGGAACACGGCCATCAAAGTCATCAGGCACCTCGGCATCGTAGGAGAGTGCAACATCCAGTACGCTCTTAACCCCGAGTCTGAACAGGTATGAACGGTGTCCATACTTATACACACAGGCTGGTTCCCACCAGGATAGAAGTACAAACACAGATTCTGTTGTTTTGCAGTACTACATCATTGAGGTGAATGCCCGTCTGTCGCGCAGTTCGGCCCTGGCCAGCAAGGCGACGGGTTATCCTCTGGCCTATGTAGCGGCTAAACTTGGCCTGGGGATCCCGCTGCCACAACTCAAGTACGTAAACAAATCAGACAAAATATTGAATACGCAATGTACTCAAAATGTGTCCGTACACGCAGACACAGTTTTAAAAACCGAACAAAAAGTGCTTTCCCGTATAGAAGTACGTGTTAATATCCAGGAAAAAATTTGGAATTGTATCAGCAGTATACAAAAACTTATGATAGTCAGCCCTGCAATGAGCCGCTGTGTCTGAGAGCTTAAATCCCTCATACGTTTTTAGAATTGTGTGATTCAGTAATAAAAACCTGTCAATGTATTTTCTGCAGGAACTCAGTTACCAACTCGACTACAGCGAACTTTGAGCCCAGCTTGGATTACTGTGTTGTGAAGGTGCCTCGCTGGGATCTGAGCAAGTTCCTCAGGGTTTCCACCAAGATTGGCAGCTCCATGAAGAGTGTTGGTAGGAAGAGAAGTCTTAACCATAGCCTGCCATTTATAAAACTGCATTAGCTCAGAGCAACAGTGGCAAGAAGCAGATCTTCACCCGTACATTTGTTGACAGGCGAGGTGATGGCTATTGGCCGCAGCTTTGAGGAGGCCTTCCAGAAAGCTCTGAGGATGGTGGATGAGAACTGTGTTGGCTTTGACCACACCATCAAGCCTCTCTCTGAAAAGGTAATTTAAAGTTTGTACTCACCTTTTTGTTTAGTTTTTTATGTTTGTAAGTTGTAACTGGAGTATTGTGAGTCACTGGTAAACTGCCACTGCTGCATACCTGTAGTCCTCATGTCCTTGACCCTGTTGTGAGTTGTTCAGAGTCCATTATTTACATAATAATAAATGTCAGTGAGTCATGCAAGGATGTTGAGGTAGGAACTGTGTGTGAGCCAGGAGATGGTGCTAATGTGCTACTGAGCCAGTATGCTGTACACTGTAAGGTAGATAACACTTTGTAATGATACCTTGTTGATGCAAGCTTTACTAGGTCTTAACTGGAAGGGATTCTTTCATTTAATGTTAAAATGATCATCTTCTACTGTTAAATATGTGTCTAATAGAAAATATACAGTTGTTAATTACTTGTCCAGTTATGTATCTCAATTATCATGCCTTGCTCTCTTGCCCCTCTCTGCTCACCAGGAGTTGCAGACTCCTACAGATAAGCGCATCTTTGTTTTGGCGTCGGCCTTCAGAGCCGGTTACACGGTGGACCAGCTGTACGACCTCACCAAGATCGACCGCTGGTTCCTGTACAAGATGAAGAACATAACCGACCACGAGCGACTGATGGAGACGTACAACCAGGTAAGAATGATTCAAACATTTTAAAAATTAGCAGCCGTTTCTTCTTGATTTTTCTTGCTAACGTTGTTTTTCCCACCAGGATGAGAGTGCCATGCCTCCAGAGGTGATGCGAAAGGCCAAGCAGCTGGGCTTCTCAGACAAGCAGATAGCACTAGCTGTGCAGAGGTGAGTGGGAAAGACAATATGGGCCTGCGGTCACATTACCTGATTATTTTTAGGCTAGCCGTTGCAGTGTGCTGGCACCACCAATTAATTTCAACACCAGAGAAAGAAAATGCTGGCGAATGAATTTCCTGCTCCTGATCTGGCGAACTGAAACACTGATTAATGTAAAGGCTTCCTTTTTTATTTAAATTTTAATGATTTCTAACCTGCTCTTGCGTTTCTATATATAATTTGCACTTCTCTTGGAGTGATATGAAACAGAAAACACTACAAAATGATATTTATATTTACATTACATCAGTTTATTCTCACACTTGTTTGTTTTCTCCTCCTATTGTCAAGCCTTATTTCTCTTTGTGTTTCTGTGTCCCTCCTACAGCACGGAGCTCGTAGTGAGAAAGCTGCGTCACGACTGGTCCATCATACCTGTAGTGAAGCAGATCGACACGGTGGCGGCCGAATGGCCCGCTCACACAAACTACCTGTACTTAACCTACCACGGTACCGAGAACGACCTGCAGTTCAACGATCAGCACGTCATGGTGATCGGCTCAGGGGTTTACCGCATCGGCAGCAGCGTGGAATTTGATTGGTGTGCAGTCGGATGCATCACAGAGCTCAGGAAGGTAAGTCCTACACGATCTCATAACACTGCAGATCATTGATTTAAATTTAAGCTCGATATATGTAGGTATTTCAGAAGAATGTTCAGAATGGAAACTAATATATAATTTAAAAATAAGTGTAATTGCAGAAGCGTCTCCTCCTGTGGTTTGTTTGTATTTTGTGTGTTAAATAAAATGTAATGTAAATAAGATGGTGCATAACCTCCATATGGATTTTTGTATTGTATTGCAGATGGGTTATAAGACCATCATGGTGAACTACAACCCAGAGACCGTCAGCACAGACTACGACATGTGTGACCGTCTCTACTTTGATGAGATCTCCTTCGAGGTAAGATTGTTCCCACTAAATAATAAACTAAAAACATTAATAATGAGTTTTAAGTTAATAGAAATGGTTTGGGACACAGTTCATGTTATACTGGATACAACACAGCAATACAGACTGCAGCCATAGAGTAGAATTAAGATCTTGTGGGGACACACTCTCCCATTCAGAGAGCCCATTATGAGCTTATAATAGTTGTACTAATAATACTTTTGAGGTTAATAAGTGTCCTGCACATATCTCAGGTGGTGATGGATATCTATGAGAGGGAAAACCCAGAGGGAGTGATCCTCTCTATGGGAGGCCAGCTGCCCAACAACATCGCCATGTCGCTGCACCGCCAGCAGTGCCGCATTTTGGGAACCTCCCCCGAGTTCATCGACTCTGCCGAGAACAGGTTCAAGTTCTCCCGAATGCTGGACACCATCGGAATCAGCCAGCCACAGTGGAAGGAGCTCTCTGACACTGAGGTACAACCGACTGTTTATACCAGAATATGTTTGACAATGTATCAGAAATCAATGGTTTTGATTCCAAATATTGGCAGAAATTGTAGCATTTTGACCTTTTGGAGGGTGAAAAGATTATGTATCGTTTGTGGTCTTTTTCTGCGTTTTATTTAGAAAGACACGCTTGTGTTTTTAACAAAATATGTCTTAATCCTCACATCTATCTTCCAATTCTTTTTTCTCTCCAGTCTGCTATGAAGTTTTGTGAGACTGTGGGTTATCCCTGCCTGGTTCGTCCCTCCTACGTTCTCAGCGGAGCGGCCATGAACGTTGCCTACACTGACAGCGACCTCGAGAAATACCTGAGTAGCGCTGTAGCTGTGTCCAAGGAATACCCTGTTGTCATCTCCAAATTCATACAGGAGGCCAAGGTTAGAGAAAAAGACTCGCAGCAGTTTGAAGTTGAGCTCCAAAAGTCTCTGTGTGAAAGTGGAAAGAGTTAAATGAGTCTGTAACATTTTTGTGTTTTCCAGGAGATAGACGTGGACGCCGTAGCCTGTGACGGGGTAGTGATGGCCATCGCAGTGTGCGAACATGTGGAGAATGCTGGCGTTCACTCTGGGGATGCCACACTGGTGACACCACCCCAGGATCTCAATCAGAAGACGATGGAGAGGATCAAGATGATCGTCCACGCCATCGGCCAGGAGCTGCAGGTCACCGGACCTTTCAACCTGCAGCTGATTGCCAAGGTGAGAATCAGTCTGGAACGTCTGCAACGTTTAATATGGATCAGACACAGAAACGGACCTAGACGTTTAGAACAGAGATTTTTTTAAAGTCGGAGGCTCCCAAGAGTGTCAGGGAAGGCTCAGTGAATAAAAAATATTACAATTTTTATTATTAGCTATCAAAAGGAGATGACATGAAATAGTGTAAATGTGTGATTTGATTAGAGATACAGTAGTTTTGGGGAAATTCCCGCTTCCATTATTATTTCAGAGTCAGAAACTAATGATGCCTGGAGATAGACTCTTTTTTTATATGTATTTGGTGTAATCTGAAGTTTAAAAACAACAGAGGTCACAAAAAGAAAAAGACCTAAAGTAAATAATTTTTTTCCCTGTTCATATCAGCGATCTAACGCTTTGATGATGTTGTGCTTTTTCCACCAGGACGACCAACTGAAGGTGATCGAGTGCAACGTCCGAGTCTCCCGCTCCTTCCCCTTCATATCCAAGACCCTGGGCGTGGACATGGTTGCCCTGGCAACTCATGCCATTGTCGGAGAGGACGTGGAGCCAGTGGGCCTAATGAGGGGAAAAGGGATCGTAGGAGTCAAGGTAACTAAGCCAACTCAAACCATAAGTGTTTTTCACTTGTTAGGGATCTATAGCAACTTCTATAAAAACTTTTTCACTTAAATCTGAGAAAGCCTCACTCGCTGTGTGTCGTGTAGTCCTCCTAACCATATGACACGTGTCCTGCAGGTTCCTCAGTTTTCATTCTCTCGGCTGGCCGGCGCCGACGTGGTGCTCGGGGTGGAGATGACCAGCACTGGGGAGGTGGCCTGTTTCGGGGAGAACAGATATGAGGCTTACCTCAAAGCCATGCTCTCCACGGGCTTCAAGATCCCCAAAAAGAACATTCTGCTCTCCATTGGCAGCTTTAAGGTACTTGCAGGACATGACTGACATAAATATTAAACACTCTTTAAATCTGGGATTTACTGATGAATTTCTCCAAGCCAAGAGTTGCTGATTTGGCAGATGTGAATGTTGTGTTCAGCTGATCCAGCTGGCAGCTGAAATGGCGGAGAATGCACCAACAGTGGCACATTACAGTACATTTGCAGTCCTGCATCGCAATTCACAGATGGTTCTTAAGGCCATCGAGCCATGTGGAAATAAATCTGTTACATGATAGTATGGCCTCGATAAGAATGCTTAAAGGCTTCATCTTCGAACCGGAAAATACACAATTTCTACTCAAATAAATTCCTAACACGACTAAAGAACTGAATGCAATTGAGCTTTTATTGTTTATTGTTTATATGAATCAACATTAACTGTTTCCTTGGCAACAACTACTCTTCCTGGGGTCCATATCTCCATATAACAGTTAAAATATCACCATTACACATTGGTACATTACAATATATGACAACAGATGCAATGCAAATACAATAACTAACAGTAAAACGTGAAATTGAGTATTAATCTTAAATAGAATACTAGAATGCTTTATATATCCAATAATATATACAATAAATATTACATTTAAAATAAATCAATTACCTTTTTTACTAGACTCTTGAAGTATGAAGCATGATAGATAATTATATTCAGATAGCTAATAAACATTAACAATTATTGTTAGCTGACTGGCAGTTGATTGATCCATTATTTGTATTAATCCAACTCTTTCAAATAAGATGATCTTATTGATTACCACTTTGTTTTCTAATGTTTTGTGTCTTGTTACAGAACAAGAGCGAGCTGCTGCCCACCGTGCAGTCTCTGGAGTCTATGGGTTATGACCTGTATGCCAGTCTGGGTACCGCAGATTTCTACACAGAACATGGAGTCAAGGTAACTGAAAATATATGTTTCATCACACCAACAGTCAACACTTAATAGCAGAAAAGTATGCTGGTAAGTCAGGTAATCGAGATTTATTGTATTGACACGTGTAAAAAACACATTAGCACTAAAAGAGTAAAACTGAGGATCTCTGGTGTAACAAACCAAGTTTTTGTCCTTACAAGTTTGTCCTGCAATGGTACATGTGTGCTAGGTTTTTGGAAAGTTTTGTGACTGAACAACGGCATTATGTATACTTGATGCTAGTTGCTGTTAAAAAATGCTTATTCCTGATTGTCAGTATTGTACTACTTTACACCAAAATATAACAATAAATATTGATGATGATTGAACTAATACTTACAGAAAGATTGATCCAGTCAGGTGTTTCAAAGACTGTAGATTTTATAACAATAACACGAGGAGAAAAAAAATCATAAAGCATCAAAAATATCCTATTGTTGTCTCTTCTGAGCTTTTTTTTTTTGTCTAACTTCCTGTTTCAGGTGACAGCGGTGGATTGGCCGTTCGAGGAGGACGACAGCGAGTGTCCCAATAAAGAGAAGCAGCGCAGCATCATGAACTACTTGGAGGAAAACCACTTCGACCTGGTCATCAACCTCTCCATGAGGAACAGCGGCGGGCGCAGGCTCTCCTCCTTCGTCACCAAAGGCTACAGGACGAGACGCATGGCCATCGACTACTCTGTCCCGCTCATCATCGACATCAAGTGCACCAAGTTGTTTGTGCAGGTCAGAAATAAGTTGATTATTAGTACTGCAAAAGCTGCTTGAAAACATTACCCACAGTCGGCAACATAATGAATCTGTGTTTTCAGGCTCTTCATCAGATTGGTAGGACTCCACCAGTGAAGACTCACATTGACAGCATGACATCCCAGACGCTGGTCCGTCTGCCTGGTGAGTCACTGCGAGCAGCAGAGGCGACTCTTAATCGATTGAAGTGTTGCTCTGTTCTGATTGTGGGTGCTTGGACTTTCACAATGTCAAGTCATTTGTAGCAGGGAAAGTAATTAGACAGCACTACAATAGATAACCTTTTAAAGTACAAAGCTGTGCAGCTTTTAATTAACTTATATTGCCAGGCTGAATACTGTTAATTAATAAATAACATTGGGGCTAATAAATTAAACAGTATTGGATTGGTACACAGACAAAAATCCCCAAGTCCTGCAATACTGGTATTGAATGGAACAACTACCATTCAATTCACCATCTAATCCCTGTGTGTATTCATATGCACTCTAATATTCTGATCGTTATTAGATTGTTTAAATATCCAGCGTCTGTTTTGTGTATATAAACATATGTAAACAGGGATATGAATAACCAGGTAACTTTTATATCCAGGGTAAAAGTTATATCCCACATAATAGTAATAAATAGAATATTTGTGTTCTGTGATTGATTCTTAGGTCTCATCGATGTGCATGTTCACCTACGGGAGCCTGGAGCCACACACAAGGAGGACTTCTCCTCTGGTACGGCAGCTGCTCTGGCGGGAGGAGTGACCATGGTGTGTGCGATGCCCAATACTTCGCCTGCCATCACTGACGCCAGCACTCTGGCGCTGGTACAGAAGGTACGCTCAGATCTTTCCTGTTTGTTTGTTTCTGTCAGTCTCATCTGCCCGCTCCTGGTAAATACAGACATTTTGAGTTACTGAAGTAAAATAAAATAAATTAATCCTGTGCTATGTTATATTATCAGCTGGCCAAAGCGGGCTGCCGGTGTGACTACGCCCTGTATGTGGGCGCTGCTTCAGACAATGCCGCCGTCCTGCCATCCATCGCTAGCCAGGCCGCCGGCCTGAAGATGTACCTGAACGACACGTACTCCACCCTCAAGATGGACAACGTCTCTCTCTGGATGGAGGTGGGCTGAATCACAGTGTGTTTCAGAACTCTCTTCCTTTTAACAAACTAACTGTAGTTTATTGTTGGCAATAAATCCTGTTTGTTGAGTTGAGCTATTTCCAGCATCTAATCACCATTAAGATAGTTCACTGGTGCTGACTAATGCTTGCAGGAGACCAGTGGAAGACTTTTGCCTTCATGTCCCACTGTGCACACTAAACTAAACTATAACTCTCTGGTTTTTGAATTAAGCACTTTGAGAAGTGGCCCAAGCAGATGCCCATCGTTGCTCACGCTGAGAAGCAGACGGTGGCTGCAATCCTCATGGTGGCTCAGCTCTACCAGCGACCCGTCCACATCTGCCATGTGGCCAAGAAGGAGGAGGTAAAATACTGTTTATTATTTTTATTTTACACTTTGTCAAACAACTATTATAGAAATATTAAATGGTGAAGTAAAAATGGTTAAGGTTTTTTCTATTATTAATCTTCTTACCTCCTTGTTTTTCAGATCCTGATCATCAGGGCAGCGAAGCAGAAGGGCATTCAGGTCACATGTGAGGTGGCGCCTCATCACCTCTTCCTTTGCGAGGAAAACGTGGCAGAGATCGGCGACGGACGAGCTCAGGTCCGACCCATGCTGGGAACACACGAGGACATGGAGGCCCTGTGGGAAAACCTGGATATCATTGACTGCTTCGCCACAGACCACGGTCAGCAGCCACATAGAACCTCAGAAACCAGTCTGAAAATGAATCCATTAGTTAAAGCGAAGGTTCCATCGATCATTTTTTAGTCCTGAACCGATTTGTGTTGTGTTGTGTTGTGTTGTTAGCTCCCCACTCTGTAGAGGAGAAGAACAGTGAGCGTCCTCCTCCGGGTTACCCCGGCCTGGAAACGATGCTGCCGCTGCTGCTGACAGCTGTCGGTGATGGACGTCTCACTCTGGATGATATCATCAGACGTCTTTATGACAACCCACGCAAGATCTTCAACCTGCCTGTCCAGGAGAACACCTATGTGGAGGTACACAGACAAACTCGATTACTTGAGTCAGCAGTCGAAAAGAACCTGTGTCGAATCTCTGCACTTCTGTTTTTTAGCTGAGTCATTGTACACAGAGCGACAACATGGCAGTCTGTAAATGTTATAAAGCCTCAAAATAACCCAAATTACTGTGATGGAAGTGGAGAGGAGGGAGTGATAGTTAATGGAGGGCAGCGTGACGCCGGACAGCAGGGCAGTGGCTGTCCCGGCGCTCCGTTCCAACCTCCTCTACCACCGTCCACTGTGATTGACACGTGGGCTGATGGCAGTGCAGCAGGTCTGTGGTGCGCTGGTATTTTGTAACTGAACTATGAGCAGGGGACACAGGTGTACTTTCTCTGACTGTGTGGAAATCTGATGTTTTCACATCACAGATGAGGAAAGGCATAAAAACATGAGACTATGTGGCCACGTTTCCACCTCAGGAACTACTGAGATATAGCACTAAACTTAAAACAAAGGGAACTAATAGTCCTAACAGGCAAATAATTGACACAATTTTGAGTCGGGCACAGCCCTATTATGTGGTGGTCACTACTTATCTATTTGTTATTTTTATTTTTGTTTTATTATTTATTTATATCTTGATTTCTGTGTTTTGCTCTGCATTCTGGTTTCGTAAGAACCTATGCTTCATACATAATCTGACAAATAATGCTCACACTTTGTGTCATTCAGGTGGACCTGGAGCAGGAGTGGGTTATTCCTCAGTCCATGCAGTTCACCAAGTCAAAGTGGACACCTTTCCAGGGCATGAAGGTGAAGGGTAAAGTCCGGCGCGTGGTTCTGCGAGGAGAGGTGGCCTACATCGATGGCCAGGTCAGCAATCGCACACATACATGTTCAATAATAATTGATAATGTTTATTAAAGCGGTTTTATATTTAATGATACCTGTACATGTACAACCTACATCAATAAAAGTAATAAAAGATGTTTACTGTTATGTAATGTGATGGTTTTAAAGCTGTAGTTATTTCCCTCTCAGGTGTTGGTACCTCCAGGTTACGGTGAAGATGTGAAGACCTGGCCGTCTGCTTCGATCCCTCCTCCTGAAACTGTTAAAGAAAGTCCCATGGTATTTAAAATGGATACATAATAATAATGCAAACAAAGATAACAGTAATACACACTGAAGCAGATATTGTAATGTATCTATTCTACTAGTCTTAAGCCTGCGTGTGTACACTCCAAATGTACACAAAGCCACTGTTTAATGGGTGGACGTTGTTTACATTTGTTGTAAGATTGCATGTTTCCTGTTATGTCCTGTTGGTTTAGACTCCAGAGCCCCTACGTCCTACTCCTCCCCGGGAAGGCCCGGTCCGGACCAGAGCACCCAGCCCCCGACGACCTACAGGAGAGAGCCGCTACCTGCTGCCCCCTCGCATCCACCGCTCCTCTGATCCCGGACTCCCACCAGGTACTACAACTCCCATAATGCTGTGGGACATCCACTATTCATTCGTGTTAGTTGTGATATGTGCAGTGTAGTGGGAAAACAAATCTTGTCATGAATTAAATCATTTTTTACTCTTAAATGTCTATAAACTGTATCATTCTGTATTCCTGTATTTCACTGATGCATTGTACTTTGTGTCACTGCACTGTGCTCTCTGCAGAGATGTTTATGGTCCCTCCAACCGGCGCTGGTGACGGTTACGGCCACCCTCCTCCCCTGTCCAGGCTGCTGTCCCCTCAGTCAGGACCAGGACTGATACCTGCTGGACAGGCGACCCACTTCCAGACCTCTCCTCTGCTGCACGCACTGGTGGGCCAGCACATCCTGTCCGTCAGACAGTTCAGCAAAGAGCAGGTACACCACAGCCACAAGCTACTTGATGAGCCGCTATGTATTAATAACAATGTGAAATAACCTTTTGGACTTTTGATGCACATTATTTGTTTTTTATATATATATATTTGCGGAAGAAGCACATACCTTCCCAGGATGTCCAGACCTTCCGTTCTTTCTGGAAACCAGCAAAACCAGATGTGGGGCCAAACATTAAAAAGATGAGAGATCTGAAACAAAACAAAT